GATTGTGAAATATTTTTAAACTTAGGAAGGCAAAGCAGTTGGGAGAACTGAGATTTTAAATTTGCCATGATAATTAAAATGAAGATTTCATCTTATGGAATGTGTATCGTGTAGTCTGATAGATATTTAATAACGTTTTGGAGATACCCACTACCTCCATATTTGGGGAAGCATAATCCATGCAGATGAGTGACCAAGACTAGCTCTTTCTAATGGATTCCAATGAGTAGGAAGTTTTCCTCCCTTACATCCAGTGACAGGAACATATTCAGTTTCTAGAATGTTTTGCTCCCAAAATCTCAAGATAACTGATAATATCCAAAATAATAATCATAATTATTGAAGATGCTTCTTTATTCTTTCCCTCTCCCCCATGATACAAAGCCCAGAACTTTGTGAATATCAGGCTTTGCTGTGGTTCAGAGTTCACATTACTCTGTAGGTTCACTCTGCCATCTATCATAATGAGTAATAACTAATGTGCTTCCTGGCAGAGGGGAGGAACAAAGCAGCTTGTCATTTGTCATGACAATAATAACTCGCTGTTTGCTGGCCTGAATATTGAAAGAGAGGCTTGTTACCCAGAAGCCAGCTGAACTGATTTTTCCCAAATCTAGTTTTAGGTATACATTATGGCTTGTAAACATTTGGATTAGTAAAGTTCTGTGAATTACTCAGATATAATTGAACAGATGCCAACAACTTTTGCTGCTAAATCCTCCCGTGTAGAGTTTGGTTTCTGTAGCAGCCTCTTCCCTTGTGGGTATGCTCCTGGAAAATGCCATGCCTGTCGAAATGGCATTAACATAATTGCTGTCGATCCCACTGCCTGATAGGTTGCAGTTTACTGCTTGCCAGTGCCAGCCCTAGCAAGTGATGTTGGGCTGTTCCCACTCTGCACGCAAATGTCATTTTCTTCCACAGACAGCTCTCAGAATCAGAGAAACTTCTAAATTTAGTTTGTCAAATCTCAGAAGATTCTCCATATGGAGTGGTTTTTGACTGCTTTTCACGTAAATATTCATGTCTGGGTTGTGACACCATGCAGTCTGGTATAAGTTTCACAACTTTTTGGAGGGATGTACTGCTCCCATCTTTAGGGCTGCAGAGTAAGCCAAGCAAGCCACTAGTGCTCTGTTGCTTGGTTTACTGCTCGATCTTGACGATATAGGTAATATGTTCCTCCAAAATTCCAGTGAGCTTCTTCCAGAATGCACAGTGTTGTGTTCCAGATGATGGCAGTCTTCATACCCAATGTTGTGGGAACTTTAACCTTGCATGCTTTACATCTGTTCTGTTTTGCTTCTGCTTCAGATATACTAAGTTCAGAATCACATATGTGGTGAAACGGCTGACCCAACAAGTGAAATCCAAGTGTGAGGACATGGCAGTAAATTTGTTAACTGCTTGTGGAAAATGTTGATCTGCTAGGAAAAGACAACAGAACCCAAACTCATACATGTTGCTTGGTATAATATTCTTACAAGCTGCAGTTCATCAAAGGAAGAATGCAGATCAGCTGACTGTTGTATGTGTAAGTTACATTATTTATTTCAAATCCAAGCGAAGAACTGTGGCAACTTGATGTGGATAAGAGGACAAGTCATACATCCCAAACCAGAACTTTGATAATTCCTTTCAGAATGTGCAAATGAGATCTTTATGTGAAAAACTGTGAAATGGTGTTTGGTTATATATGTTTCTAGTCAGATCAATTAACCAACTGACTTCATGGCCCTAAGTCCTTCTTTAAAAGAATTTCCCAGCATTTTATGGAACATGATGGTTCATTTCTGTGTTCACAAGAGCCCTCCACTGGTCCCTGTCCTCAGCCAGATGATCCAGTCTATTCCATACTATTTCTCCAATATTCATCTTAATGTTATCCTCCCACCTACATCTAGATATTTCTAGTGGTCTCTTTCTGGCTTTCCCAACAAAACCCTATATGCATTCCTCTTCTACCCCGTGCATGCTGCATGCCCTACCTGTCTCATCACTCTTGACTTGATCATTGTAATTATGTTTCGTGAAGATTACAAATGAAAGTATTAAAATTATACTGATGGTAAGACGATTTTGCTGTTTGACTAAGGTAAGTACAAGTTGTGGTCATGAACATTCTAGACATATAGTTGTTATCCAAAACCAGACTTAACGGATGGTGGGTATGAAGAGAAAAATTCAATTCACTATAAGTCCACATTTACTTGTTCCCTTTTAGAGGAGTTGGCCCTTTGCATGCCAAAAGTCAATTGAATTTGTTTGGCATACTTATATTATAACTGCCACTGCTGAAAATATCAACCTAGTGTTAATTACGTAGTACAGCATTTCTTTCAACAGATGGTATCAAATATGATATATTGATGTTTAGAGAAAAGACAGGCTTTCATGTCACCTATATCTGTGGTCTTTTGAAAATAATCTCAGGAAGTATTGTGGATTTTTCTTTGTGAGGACTTTTCACCAGGTAGCCTTTGCATTTCTAGCATGTAGGTCTATGGCAGGGGTTGGCAGCCGGAGTGTTAATACAGATATGTGAGAAGCAATCAGATTTAATGATCCTCTGGTGTTTTTTTTTTTTAATTTGCTTAGTGGGGGGNAGGCCAATTGGGTCCATTTGGCACGGCGGCCACTGACTGGCCTATTGTACCCTGTCCCGGGTGATTGTGATGATGGAGAATTTTGTGGAATGAAGATTGGCAGGGGAAACCGAAGTGGATGGGGCAGGATAGACTTATTCAGTTGGGCCAGTTAGAAAGAACTAGTCTCAATCATTAGCTCTTTCTAACAGGCCCAACTGAGTAGGTCTATCCTGCCCCATCCACCTGAGAATGGAGACAGATCCAGTCTCTGAAATGTGGGTTTTTGTCTTATATATACCAGACAATGGATAGAGTCCGAAATAAGCCTAATATTTCTGTACAGCATACACCATCGTTAGAATCCTTTCAAGTCTATTAATCACTGCTTTGAGTTCCTAATAGCAGCTTGACCAACTTTCCTTAAACTTTCATGTCTGATTTTGAAAAATCATATCTGAAAATTTTTTTCTAGAGTTAGATATCTGTATTAACACTTTTTTTGGAACTAGATTCATAGCTGACACAAAAAGACAGGAATGTGTGCATTTGTGGAACATTTATATACTAAGAGACAACAGAGTTATCTGTTGGATATGTGCATCCCAGTAGACTCAAGAAGGTTAATGTTGCTAAGTTTTTCACTTGGAATTCATGTTCATATTAAAAAAAACTCATAATTAACTTGTTGTAAACTGTTGTTAATGAGTGTGAAGTGTATATTGTAAGCCATATCATAATTTAAGTGGGTGGACATAAAAGCTGAGCACTATTGCCTCCCCAAGGCTGAAGTGCCTCAACTTAGTTTTTTAATAATTGTGTGAATACCTTGTTTATTTTAAACAAATTTGGGATTCAGTGTGAAGCATGTTTCTTATGAAGGTTAATGTATTCTGGGATGTGATGTCATTTAGTTTGGTAGAGAGGTACCTGTACTAGACAGTGTCACATTCTGGAATGAGAACCCCAAGATCTCAAGTGATTTTTATGCATCTCAATTCTGGTCTTTATCGTGTGAGTTTGTGTTCTGGAGGACCCAGCCATTCCCAAGAGGTGTTGCTCAGAGGTTGAGACAGCAAAGCGTGGATGCCTCATAAGTGAATGGAAACTCAAATGTGAACACTTGATTTTAAAATAATGATTAAAAAAACTGCATTTTTAAAATATATAAAATAGAAAACTTCGATGACATTTAACTGTGTTTTTCTTAATCCTTTTTAAATTCCCAAAGGAACATATAAGTAAGTCATTTTTGTAACTGTATTAGCCAGCAGCATGCATGCCTGTGATTAAATATTTGGCATATGATTGTGTATCTAATTCAGGGACACTAAGCACATTGGTGTAGTGGTAACACTAAGTAACTCCATGGAGCTGAGCCCTTCTTTACAAGCCACCACTTGAGCAGCTACTCAGGAATGTCCCAGTGTTTTATTGAAACAAGAGGTTCATATTACAGTGTTCACAAAAGCCTCCCACTAGTCCCTATTTGAGTAGATGAATCCAGTCCATACCACCCCATCCTGTCTAAGACCCATTTTTAATATTATCCACCCACTTACATCTTGGTTTTCCTAGTCGACTCTTCCCTCCTGGCATTCCCACCAAAATTCTATATGCATTCTTCTTCGCCCCCATTTGTGCTACACTCCCTGCCCACCTCATCCTCCTTGACTTGATCATTCTCCTTATACTTGACGAAGTGTACAAGTTATGAAGCTCCTCATTATGCAGTTTTCTCAAACCTCCTGTCACTTCATCCCTCTTCAGTCCGAATATTCTCCCTAGCACCCTGTTCTCAAACTCCCTTGGTCTGTGTGTAGTTATAACACTGAATACTTATATATGAGTGCCCAGTTCAAATCTCAGCTGGGACACCAGCTATTGTCTGCATTTATTGTGATTTTTTCCAGTACCTCAGGCCACAATTATGTTTCCAATTCATTAGTCACCAGACATCCTGCTATTTGATGCGAAACTGACAGCGACATGTACTGATTCACAAAAAAGAACAGCAAATCAGATGAGACTCATAACAGGTAAGATTGTCCATATTTGGCCATTACATGTCTCACTTATAACTTCATGTTCTTACTCCTTTCCGTCTTTGCGCAACTTCGTCAACACAATATTCACACCTCAATGTCTTCTCTTCTCATTATACAACACTACATGTTTCAGCTTAACTGGCCATCATCAGATGTATAAATTAAAGTATGCTGAAGTGTTAATATTAATATCAACAAAGTTGCACCAGTGATGGCAAAGCGTAACAATATGCAGTGAAACAAAATGCTGCAGTATAATATTCTTTTATCTTGGACTTTGTATTCTAATTTGGAATTCACAGATGGCAGAGACTGCGAGGATTGAAGCTATGAGGAAAATCTTTCAGCACAATCATCTACAACAACATACTTCATAATTTTTTATTGATTTACGAACAGATACACAAGATTTACAAAAAACTGCTCAGATATCTTTGATACTCTCTCTTCTGTTCACACAGCACTGCTATGAGTTCACTGGGGGCCTGTGGACAGCAGCGCAAGCAATCCTCCTGCAGCTCCAACTGAGAGAATGTAGTTCCTGTGTTCAGAACTAAGGAACAACACACTTTGGTATCACAGACTAAAAATACTACTAAGAAATATGAACAGAATGTTATTAAAGGTAAAAAGTACATTAACTGCAGTCTAGTATGTTTTTTAAGGAAAGGAAATTACAATTATCAGAATGATAAAATGGTAACAATGAAGTTACTCCATGACTAAGCATATCATGAACACATACTGGGTAAAAATAATACTTAAGAATTAATTTCCTAACGTAAGAGAAGATGCTGCTTCTCTGTTACAAATATCAATCAGATAATGCTGTTTAGGGAAAAAATCGTGGTTTATTTATACAAAAAACATAAATACAGTAAAGGTAAAATGGTCAATGTGCTTAATTAATTAAGCACTAGGCCATGAAAACATAGTGGAGTGGAGGTGTAGCTCCACCATTCTGACCTCTGAACTAGATGGTCAGTTTCATACCACAGCCACTTTACCCCAGGGGAAAGAACCCCCAATAGTTATCACATAGAGGCTGCGTGGGCCCCAGAACTAGTGCGGACACTGTGGAGTAGAGAAAAATCTCTTGCCCTGCCGGGAAATCAACTTCAGCCATCCAGCTGGTAGCTCATCACTATATTGGCTGAGCTTTCGGTTAAGAGATTAAGAACAGCTTTATAAAATTGTAATCATCCGTTCTGTCGTAGGCACACAAAAGGATACACCGCTGGAGTGAATGTCTTCAAGAGGTAGAAGCTTGAGAAGATTACTAGAGCCAGGAAGAGGGCATTATTGTAGAAGATAGAGAATGTTGTTGCCTCGTAGTCAGCAACTTCGTTCTTCTTCCATAGGATTCTATGAACAAGTCAGGCACTTTCACTAACCTTTATTATCTGGGAATAGGATGTAAACATCTCCCACTACTGATGTGCCGGAGGCTTTAACTTCAGAATGTTGGGAACAATATCCTATTCACATGCCAACACAAAGTGTGATGCATGGACAACAAAGGATAAATCATCATATACTCCAATTACTATAAAAACAAAGGTATGCCATCATCATTTAATCATTCAAACCATTACACCATCATAAGAAAGTCATTCTACGAAGAGCTCTATCTCCTGGGACACAATGCTGTGTAATCTACTGAAAGTCAACAGACTTTTTGAATGAATATGTCACCTCCATCCACAGGCTTAAATAATAAGCCAAGTAAAAATATTGTAGGAAGTAAGCAGAAGTTGGTTGGCTTACTCTTCAAACCTGCAGATTATGTTAACGTTGTTCCTCTGAAAAGTCAGTTGACTTGCGACAGACTACACGGCATTGCATACCAGAACTCTTCAACTCTATAGTAGTTTGCTGGATGGTTATTAGATTGTATTAATGTTGACTTGTACTAGTCTGTTTTAGCCATGGCTGCTTGACCAGAAGTTTAAACTACATTATACACCTTGCAGGTCATGTGATTACAGAAGTCTTCACCTCCGTCGCATCTCTCATCAAGACTGCTGTCTTCTGGGATGTGACACCATAGTTTTGTGGATGGGTACAAACAATTTGGAAGGAACTGCCACTTCTATCTTCAGGGCATTAGAGTACTCTTTACAAAACTACATGGCACCACATCCCAGAACATTGATAGCCTTCACATCTCACTATTGCACTTTAATTACGGAACCTTTCACCTCCATCATACCTCTCGTCCTTCTCCTTTTTACTCATCTTCTTATCTTCTGCCAATTTCCTAGTCATTTCCCTGGTTACTGCTTCTTCCCTTTTCACAGCAACCTACAAACAACTTAAGTTCAGCAGTGCATACAGCATGAAAACATTAGCTTACAATTTCATATTGAAATTTCTACAGGTTTTATGGTCGTATGACATGATACTAGCTAGCAGACTAAATGTGTTATGTAGCTGCATGCTAAAGAGACTCAAGTATATGGACACAACATGTAAACTTATTTCACTGACCAAATACCATAAATTTTCACTTTTCAGTGATTTGTATACATCTATCTAATTAATGCATTGCCCAAAAGGTCATCCTAACATGTTATCACCCTCAAATTTTTGAACAGTCATATGATGCCATGGAGATGGTGATTAGAAACATTTTCAAGTGTTGGCACTGATTGCAATCTTTAACCCAAGCAACAAGTTTCTGGGTTAAAATTCTTGTATACAAATGTCATATGGCAAGAAGTGATACCCAACCTCACACCTGTAGTGACGCCATGGAGGGCCTGCATTGTATGAGGGTGTACTGGAAGGGGGTGAGGTCTGAATCAATGTGCCTGCACTGTATGAGGGTGTACTGGAAGGAGGTGAGGTATGAATCATTGTTTAGCAGACAACATAACAGTACAGTTATGCTGGCAACCGCAGAAGTTTATTTTTAAAAACAAAACCAAAAACCTACCTCATTACTGTTAAAAATGAAGTTAACAGTATCTTCAAAAATTTTGTAGAACCATGTCTTTAATATCTGATGGTGGTGTGCCCACAGTACTGTCATATGATATACAATATATTCTGTTATATCATTGGTCTACCTATTGGTCAGGGGAAGCTGAAGCTAAAAGGATCTCTTGAGAAATTATATAGTAGAGGCAAAGCTCTGGGGAACAGGTTACCTATGTGACAAGAAGGGATGGATAGTGGCCCAGACCTCCATACACTAAAACTTAATTTCTGAATAAAGGTAAGTAGAGGTAAAGCTATCCCTGAAACAGGCCATGGAGATCTATAGGGTTGTGAGACACTAAGTCTCCCATATTTTCTAGACAATCAGCTCACAGATGCCAATGAGGTCAGCCGTATGTGCCAGCCACCCTTTACCCCCAGGAGGATTCCTGGTACTCATTTCTGCTAGAGGCTAAGTCAGTTCCAGGGCCATAGTGTGGCTGAAAGGATTACATCAATTAAAAAATCCAATAACCTCATAGGGAATCAAACCCGCAATCTTCCGGCTTGTAGCATACAGCCTCAACCAACTACACTACCATGTGCCCCAGACTGTCTGCTTCTAAAACATAAACTCCTACTCCTACAGACTAACAGATTTACTGTTTCACTCCCTTTCATTTAATAATGAATGACTTCATATCAGAACTTACCTTGTGTTTCAAAATAAACTTGGTGTTTTTATATGCCAGTGCAACCAAATATGTACTGGCTAATGTCACTGCGATGAAGGAGATAATTGACGAATACAGGTCAATCATATGAATTCTCCAGAACAACCCTGTTAAAAGAAATATTTCAAGTTCTTTCCCTATGGACAGTCATTCTAAATGAAAGATCTGAAGATAAACTCCTCCAGTTTTAAACAAATTCTGAATGAAATGTTATAAAATGGGCAATCTAACCTCAAAGCCTCTTCACTAGAACCTGCATGCAGTTCCTACTAGCATTTAATTTATTCTAATAATTTTAATTTCCTCCATACTTAATATTTATTTGTACATTACGTTTACTTACATATTGGTATGGCAGAAACAATAAATGCATTCCCATAAAACAGTGCTGACGATTTAGTCGACACATTTCTGCTAAAATCCTGGAGAAGCAGTTCCTCTTCCTTAGTAAAGGCTTTTGACTGTTTCCCTGACATTTTTTTAACTCTATTCAATGAAAGCGGTATAGAAAATTACACTTAATCACCGACTTTTATTGGCAATACAACGAATTAAACATCTAACACGTTACTACGTGTCATACACAGATTATCATTCGACTCACATGCCGCATTGTGGAAACAAAGGTGCCAACATAAGTCATCGTGAGATTTGGGGATCCCCTGGGATGTGATGCTGTGTAGTCTATTAGAGAGTTACAGATGTATAGGAAGAATATGCTTGCACGGTCTTCATGGTAGAAGAATTATTATTTAGCCCAAAACATGAAGACAGCACATTCCTACGAAAGGTCCGTTTCTATCACATCCTGATGATGGAGGCAGCAGGTTGCTCCGAAAATTTGGTACCGATCTATCGAACTAAATGGTGTGATATCCAAAGATAACTTTTCTGTTAGTGGTAGTTTTTTTTCACTAATGAAGATGAAATATAAATTTGTCGCTCTCTAAAGCAGATTTGAACCCACGATTTCATTATATTGCACTAATTAGTGGACGTTATGTTGAAAACAGGCTTGCTGCCTTGGGATTTTCAAGTACGGATCCTTTCTGGTACAGGCTCAGTAATTATTTAAATGATCGGTGCTTAGTAATGTGTAGGTGATAGTGCTACCTAAATTCGTGTTTTCCATTTATATAGTAATCAAGAATTATCGAGGACAGGGATGGAGTTATAGCGTTAGTCTACGTCAATAAGCCAATGTGGATAGCTGAAGATCGATGAAACGTTTTTACGCACCTACCAAACTCTACTGTGTCACAGAACATTTCAATACTTTCAAGTATGTATGTCCACTACTGTTAAAGCTCAAATGTTGCAGGTGTGTAGTTATACGGTTTTCGTACACACATTTTTTAGCTCCATTCTGTTCTCCCTTCAATTCGAGTGTTCCAATGAACAAATTTGTTAAAAATGAACACTTATGAACCTTATGGAGAGTACGGTCGTCTGCTGAACTGCACGGATTATTCCTGTTATCCAGTACAATTTTTTATGACGACTCGTGTTTGAAGTAAAGTGGCTTTTATTACGGACACACGGCTGTTGTTGGTGACAGGCTCACCAGCAATTGTTTCATGTTGGTAGTGCGTAATCGTTCGTACCGTTCGTACTGACCGTAGTGATAATAAAGAAGTAAATAACATGTGATTGTTATTGTGACAATGCTACTCGTGAAAAAGATAAACGTCATAACCTGACAAAAATGGTCGATGATGATAAATTATTATTATTCGATGTTTCGAATTCAGACGACACTGATATTGTATTTATTGAACAATTTGTGCAAAGTGTCATCGGTTTTAGTTCCCAGTACGGTAGTGATGTTAGCATATCGTATACTGCGTACAACATTATTGGGAAACCTAGTAAATTTCCAGACTATGGGGACTTTCCGCAGGCATTTGTTATGGTATGTTACAGGTTAAGAGTGTATGTAACACGAAAAAAGAGTTTTGGTACATATAACTGTAGTGTTAAGAGGGTTTGGAAAATAAATTGTATTGTTTTTACGATAAACCCACGTTTCGCAAGTTAATATTTTACAATATTGATAAGAATGCCCAAATGTGATGTGAATATGCAGTGATGAAGCCCCCTCCGTCATATGTTACGTCAGTTATAGAATGGTTTTCTTTTCTAGTCCAACAAGCATTTGTGACATACTGTAAATAAATGTATAATTTTTACATTTATAGACACACACTCCCATTTAGATGTTGGAATGGTCGTCTTCAGTGTTTTTATTATTATTATTATTATGTGCCGTATTAATTTTTAATAGAACAAGTGGAGATGTGTAGTTTCTTATACATAATCTTTGATTGTGACTTATGAAATATAATAAAACTTGGCGCGTGAAGTGCTGTAAGAAGTCAGGAACGTTCTTTCTGTCGAGTTTCATTTTCATAGATCAAAGTCCATATTAGGAATTGTACGTTTGTATTTCATCCAGTTGTTCCTTGTTACAGAGAACTTATGGCAAGTGGTGGAATGAAGCACCATCGAGGACACTTCCTTTTATGCCACAGTCACTAGGAAAAATTATTAGCCAAGATTTTATAGGTATGATGCACTGTGCTTTTCCATCATCATCTGCATGAATTAGGCCATCCTCTTGAAGACTATTTTGGTCCCTTTGCTTTTCTGTTTAATGCTGTAATCTGGTTTTGCATGTTTGTTATAAATAGAAACACATACAATAGGCTGTCAATTAAGTACCATGGTTGTTTTGTTTTTTAAATTCACCTTTGATACTTGTAGTTCCATACTTTTGAATAACAGAAATAGTGTCCAAACCAGAGTCTTCTTTGTAGAGTTTGAAGTTCTCACAGTAGTGCTTATGAAGAGTTCTGTCTTATGGGATAAGAAACTATGTAGTCCATTGAAAGTCATCCTGACATTTCAAAGAATATATTGCCTCCATCTTCAGGGTTGATGAATTAAGCATTCAGTCTGTTGCATATGCTCTGCTGGTTCGCTCGCAGATTTCTTCTTGTCTTCTACCCCGAAGATGGAGGCAATACGTTCCTCCGAAACATTGGTTAACACAATTTCTACACAGCACCAAATCCCAGAAGATGGCTTTCTTCTTAAGTATTACTTGTTGCCTGCTTCTTTCTGGTTTCTTGCATGGCTTACTCTTCAGTTCTGAAGATGGAGGTGGCACGTTCCTCCAAAATGTTGGTTGACTTCTAATGGAATACACAGTATTATATCCCGAAAGATACAACTCTTCAGATTTTTTTTGTCTCTAATTAACATTTTACTATTTTTCTTGTTCTCTCATTTTTCCCTGAAGAAACGGTTAGTATCTTTTCATACATTCTTTGAAGAGGCACAAAATGAAATGTTTAAAGAAGATAAAATACAAATATATCAGCACTGATGTGAAGAGAAATTTGTATTGACTTGAAAGAAGTCTATTTGGGTTTGCGCCAGTGGACGTAGTAGATACAAATAAATTTGGAATTGATACTGAAATACTTAATACCTAGACTTATTCCAGCGATTAATTGGAACATTTGTTCTGATATGTGACACATTCTATATCCAAGGGTTTGTGAATCTACTTCTCAACCTGAATTTAGATGTACTTGAATTTGAAATAAAAGAACAAGAACAAGATCAAGAACATGTGGCAGCTGTTAGTTGTCCCTAAAAGACTGAACATCAGTATGCATGTGTGCTGTCTTTCACCTCTTCATCCAAATCTGATTGTACAAGTATGTCTTAGCATCAGACGTCCAAGATATTTGTAAAGTTCATGTAAGGTGTGAGGTTCTTGCAGCAGTGGTTATGAAGAGTACTAACTTCTGGGAGGGGCACACAGTAGAGTAGTTGGTTGAGGCACATGCTACAAGCTGGAAGGTCGTAGGTTTGATTCCTTATGAGGTCATTGGACATTTTTCAATTGACCTAATCCTTCCAGCTGCACTATGGCCCTGGGGTTGACTCAGCCTCTAACAGAAATGAGTACCAGGAGTCTTCCTGGGGGTAAAGGGCAACCAGTGCATAAGGCTGACAACCTCACCACCATCTGTGAGCCGATTGTCTAGAAAATGTGGGTGCTTTGACATCTCACAACCCTGTGGGCCTCCATGGCCTGTTACACCTTTTCTTTTTAACTAGCTTCTGCAATATAACGCTGTATAGTCTGCTGAAAGTCAGCCAATGTTTTGGAGGAGCATACTGCCTCAGGCCTGCCACCTGCTCTCACACTGGTATCTTGCTCAGCTCTTTTAACCCTGGAGTTATAGGCGGTGTGTTCCTTCAAAACATTGGTCATTTAAACATACTATCCCAGAAGTTGGTACTCATGCTCTGCATGGAAACTGGTAACTTATTAGCTTAAAGACATCATTCAAGCTCATGACATTCTGTTGGTAGACTTGCTGTTTGAGGAAGCTGTGTACCCGTTCAGAGTGAGTGTGTATGAAACGTACAACCCTGGCTCAGTGGTTCGGATTTGGGCTGCAGATCATGAGAACCACTGGAGATTATTGTGGGAGGGGGAGCCCCAGAAAGTTGACCACACTCCCATGATCTTTTCACCTGTGATTGAGACCATAAATTCTCCAACAAGGTAAGCAGACAGTTTGCGTCTGTGTACTGTTGTTACACCCACTGAGAATTCAGTGGGAACTCCTGTTGTTTGTTATGTAAACTTTTGTACTGTTAACTTCCCTTGCTTTCTCCTGCATTCCTTTCCAGTTGTACGTATTGTGACATGTGGGCCGTTTCTGGGAAATGAGTAGGCAAACATGTTGCCATGGAGAGACTGATTCCTATAAAAGCAACTAATTTCAAAACATGATTTCCATGGATATCATCATCAGTAATCTGTCAAGACGACAGGTCCACAGTCTCTTCCAAAACAATTCCTCCACTTAATGCGATCTAGAGCTTTCTCCTTCAAATGACAGTATCCTCTTCTGTCCCCAAGGTCATCCAGCATCTTCTTACGTCTTCTTCCTCGTCTTCTTGTCACTTCTATCCGCCCCTCTATCTTTCCTTCAATAACTTCTTTTAGAAGGCAGTTTCTGCGTAAAACATGACCAATCCAATTAGCCTTCCGTTTTCTTATTTCGTGTAGGATATTCCTCTGCTCACTGACTCTAATTAACACTTCTTCATTTCTCACATAATCGGTCCAACTGATCTTCTCCANCCTGGATTTAATTTCACTAGTACACCTTCCATCATCTGTTAACAAGCTACCCAAATATTTAAATCATTTCACATTCTCCAGTTGTTTTTGGTCTATCTTTATTGTGACTGGGGTTGGTTGTCTCGAAATTTTCATTACTTTTGTTTTCTCCACATTCATTTCCATGCCATAGCACCTTCCAATTTCAATTAGTCTATCAGTGATGCCCTGTAGCACAGTTTTTTCCTTAGCCATTAACACAAGGTCATCTGCATATTCCACAGTTTGAATAATTTGCCCTCCTACTTTGAAGTCTCCGAGCCCATCCAGAGCTTCCTTGGTAAGGCATTCACTCTACAAGTTGAACAGAATTGGTGATAAACAGCATCCTTGTCGAACTCCTCTTCCAGTCTGCACACTTCCTGTCTCCCCTCTGTCCAGTCGTACTCTGGATGTGGATATGGAAACTGGAAATTTCTAAACACTTAGAAAACCAAACTGTTACTCAGGAATTAAAACATTGTTTCTGAGGCAGTGCATTCATGAAGAACAGTAGTAATGGAACCATATTGGGTTCTCAGGAAGTTATAAAATGCAGTGCATTCATGAATTCCTGTGTGGAGGTGGGGTTGATTACCTCCACCGTGACCCTGCGAGTTGTGGGAGGTGACATTAAGGGAAGTCTCAAATTTGAGACAGTAAAATATGGTTGCAAGTCCCAAGGGACTCAGACCTAAGAAAGACTGTGCTGGCAAGAGCAGCAGCATGTACAAAAGACAGACCCATCCCCTCGTCAGAGAGGGCACCCCACAAAAACAAGACTCTAATTGTTAAACAGTAATAAATATATGGTCATGAGCCCCAGATCAGGCTTGACACCAAGACTTAATGACTGACTGTCATTTGCAGTGTGACTTTAAATTTGAGAGATTCAGATTGAGAAAGGAGTCAGAAATTCATTCATAGGGGAATTCAGAAGGCAGTTCAATAGTGAAATGTTAACCAGATAAGATTTGTTACCCAGCAATGACTAGCAAGCAGATGATGGTGACTTTATTTTGTGTGTTATAGTTACAGTAATCTTTAGTGTGTTATAATTATTTGTATTTATGACTTGTGAGTGTCCATTAAATCTATTCATCTATTCCATAACCCATTATTATTAGTCATGCAGTCACCATATACATAATAGTATTATCGAATGATGCATCAAGGCTAATTTGTAACACTATCTCCTATAAATAACCCACATAAATAGTCAATTATGAATCATCTTCTTTATATAGTTTAGTACACTTTACATACACAGGTAGTGGATATGACATGATGAAACAAAAGACCAATTGCTCTTTTGTGACCTATCATGTAATCTGTGGTCATGCAACATGTTACCATTCTAACCAGGTTGCTTAAATCATGCGCTCTGTGATTCAGATAGTTCATAGGTAGCATACATTATCGGCAATATATTGCATCCTAATAAGAGATCGCATTATTTTTAGGTAATATAATGTTCAGCACGGCTGATACCAAACTCCAGTTCTACCAGCATGAGTTAGGCATGAAGTAAAGCCTGCTTTGCCCTCTGCCTACTTGGCTTACTCTTCAACTGCAAAGATGGGGGCGACATCAGTAGACCTGCCCCACACTACATGGCGTTATAGTCCAGAAGATAGAACTGCTCATAGTCACTCTTGTGAGAACCTCAAGCCCTGCATAACATGGGTGAACCCATGAATATTGAATATGAATTGAGTCCATCAAACCATTCGAGTTGTAGTGAAGGGCGTGTGTGTGCATGTAGAAATGTGGGGGGGGGGCAGACGGCATTAAAAAACACATTTTCATGTTGAGGAGCTGAGAATGTGTAAATCTGTCAGAATCTAAAGTTGAATTTCTTTCATGATCACGGTACGTTCTCATATATATTACATATATGAGAAACTAAATATTACCATGAAATGCGTGATACAAATGATAGATTTGCCCGTAGAGACATGTAGAATCAACCTTGCGTCTTGCTTTTGTGCAGAACAGGAGCCGGGGTAGTACAGGCAGTATAGCGACTGACTACAGGCTGGACAACTGAAGGGTTGGAGTTCAAGTAGGGTCAAGAATTTTCTGTTCTCCACATCATCCAGACTGCCTTTGGGACCCGCCCAGCTTCCTGTCCAATAGGTACCAGGGACTGTTTCCCTGGCCAGGGTCTGAAGCTGACCAGTTGCCTTCAACTAGTGCCAGGGTCAAGAAAAAGTAGGTCTGTACATCCTCTCCCCCTTACATCTTAATGAAGTAGTGCCTAATTAGTTAAGCACAGGGACAGCTTTACCTTTTTTTTTTTTTTCCACAGAATGGCTGTAAATTTTGTCAGAACTTCTTTGAGGCAGTGAATGTTAAGAAATTCAGATCTTGTATGGGAATGCACTGATGATATAGCAAGATATGTAGCTGGCCTTTTTCTATTTGTTAGTTATGTTGTCTTTATTTTTCTTCCTTTTTCTTAGGCCCAAGTATTCTCAGTATCTTACTGTCAGAAACCCTAAATATTTGTAAATTTTGAGGTTCTCACATCTGTTACTCTAAAGATTACCATATTCTGGGGTGTAACACCATATAATCTGGAAGATCATCAGCATTATTTTGGGGGCACCTCTTGAAGGTAGAAGAATCTTTGACCGTAAAGACGGAGGCAGCAGGCAGCATTTCAGAGGAGCTCATTGCTACTTTCTTTAAGGGGAAAAATCCCCCTCCTCTGAAGACTGAGGCTGCAGGTTCCCCCCAAAATGTTGGAAACAATCTACCAGACCATGTCAAATGCAAGGAGATGTTAGTGTTCATTTGAAATCCTTGTTCTTGATTTAAATTTAAGTATTGTATCCAGTGTTGCAAGTGTTATCAGTAGCAATGCGACAAGGGAAAATAAATTAATTTGTTCTGATGTTTTTCAGGTTGCTTCGCTTGGAGTTTGACCATTCACACCTCGAATACTATACAGAGCTAGATGCGGTGTTACTGGTGGGAACCAAAGAGCCCATTGTCAATGCAGAGACTCATCAGGTTCCCAGTCATGATCTCATTGTGCCACCTGTTGGGAAACTGACATCACAGATACTACAGCATAACATTCATAACATTCCGCCCCAGGTTTGTTCAAACTAGTATTAAATATTGTCATTAAATATTGTCTGTGAGTCACAACATATGCATGTGTATGCACCATACTGTAAGATAAGATTTCACAGGCTTGTAGAGTTGGTTATAATCAACATAATAAAAGGAACAATAGATTTTACTCATTCCATGTCTTGTTATTTTTCATTTTATGCAACAATTACTGTAACAGTTATATACAAAACTAATTTTGCCTGTGGTTCTGTATGGGTGTGCAACTTTGGTCTCTGACATTAAGGGAGGAACACAGACTGAGGGTGTTTGAGAACAGGGTGCTGATGAGAATATTTGGACCGAAGAGAGATGAAGTGACAGGAAGTTGAAGAAAACTGTGTAATGAGGAGCTTCATAACTTGTACTCTTCTCCAAGTATAATTAGAATAATCAAGTCAAGGAGGAAGAGGTGGGCAGGGCGTGTAACACGAATGGGAGAGAAGACGAATGCATATTGGATATTGGTGGGAAAGTCGGAGGGGCGGAGTCCACTGGAAAGACCAAGGCATAGGTATGTGGACAATATTAACATATATCTTAAAGAGACAGAATGGGATGGTATGGATTAGATTGATCTGGCTTAGGAGAGGGACTGGTGGAGGGCGTTTAACACGAATGGGGGAGACGAGGAATGTATATTGGATATTGGTGGGAAAGTTGGAGGGGCGGAGACCACTGGGAAGACCAAGGCATAGGTGGCTGGACAATATTAAAATGTATCTTAAAGAGACAGGATGGGATGGTATGGATTAGATTGATCTGACTCAGGATAGGGACTGGTGGAGTGCTCTTGTCTTATTTATAACTCCTCAGTGCAGACTACATCAAAAACACTGTTCTTTTGTTATTGCACATATATTTGTTTCCATGGGAATGTGATTTTAAGCTGTTACTCAGGAATTGCTGTTTGTTTATTCACATTTTGTTTAGCAACAGCTGTATGCCTTGTTTGTTTTGAGGTCTTTACCAAGCTATGGTCTATATGCCACAATATTATTTTCCACTATTTAGTTAATTTTGATTTAGTTTGAAACGTACCAAAACCCAAGGACCGAAAAGTGGTTTGGGATAGGAAACTATATTAACAGTACAGACACCAAATGAATATAATAATATAATAATATAATTGATTAAAAAAAATACAAACTGCCCCAGATAAGGACGGCACAACGTACAAGCGTCCCCCAACTCCGCCGTTAATTTAGTAAACCACAATTCCAAAAAATAATTTTGGGCCGAGACCAGACTCTTCCACGGCGTGCAGCAGAATGGCCCTCCAGTGTTCAGACGAGCCTCTCAGTCCCTGGTGAAAGGATGAAGGGCGCAAGCGTAGGGCACGTGGAGAGGGGGAAAAGGAAAGAA